ATGTTTTTTTCTCTCCTGATCCTTCGGGCCCCGCTCCGCCAAGCCTGGGGGATCGTTTTTCGGGGGAGTGCGCGCCGAACGTCTCGACCTCTGCCTTGGCGACCCCGAGGCGCCTGTGCATGTCGATCGGGGGTTGGGGGATGTCTGGACTTCGCCGTCGCGGTCGACGCCTTCATGTTCGGCCCAGTTCGAGCGCGCCTCGGGCGCCGCGGACGCCGCCGCCGCCGCCGGCCGGCGGCGCCGGCGCCGCCGAGGCAGAGCGGCGGCAGCAGCGGCCCCGTCGCTGGAGGGCGACCTCCCGCGCTGGTCGACCGAATTCCCCCCTCCGCGGCCCGCCCCCCGCCCAGCCCCGCGGGCGCCCGACCCCGTGGGGCGGAAGTTCCCAGGGGGCCTTCCGGGAACGCTGGAGAGACCCCCCCCCGAGATGTGCGCGGAGAGGCTCGTCTCCAGCGTGGCGGGCAGCGACTTTGCACTCGATGGGGCGCGCGGCCCAATCGCGGGCGGCGGGCGCCAGGGTCGAAGCGCCGCTCTCCGTCGCGCTGCTCGACCTCGAGATAGCGCGCGCGTCGCTCGACACCGTCGCGCAGGGTCGGGCGCCCGACGCCCCGCGCGACGCGCTCGCTCTGCCTCGGCGCCCGCGGCGCCGCTCGCCGGTCGCGGTCGCGAGCCCCGGCGAGCTGGCCGCGACCGCGGGGGCAAGAAGGATGAAGCGCATGCTTGCCTCATATCCAAGCTCTTGCTTTGCATGCGCGCGCGGGCGCGGCGCCCCGCGGAGCGCGGCGGGGCGCGAGAGACGGGGCGCGCTAAGACCGCCGATCGCCCCGCAACGGCAGGCAAACTAAAATGGCGCGACAGAGCGCCCCAATGTCACGAGCGACCCCAGCGCCCCTGTCGCAGCTACATAGACGGGGAGAGTTGGGCCCAGGGCGCGGGGGAGTCCCGCCCGCGTGATCGTCGCCCCCGCTGCAGGAAGCGTCGTCGGATTCTTACCCAGCCACTGCCGCGGTCAGGGACTCGCGCGGGCCGTCCTCGGCGTCGCCCTCCGACGTCGCCGCCCGCCCCGGCGTTTCCGGGGCCGGTTCAGGCGCTTCCTCTGCCGCGAGCTGGACTTCAAGGAGTCCTTGAACCGCGTCGGCGCCGCAGTTGCTGGTGACCCTGCTGGCATCGGAACTTCGCAGTCAGGCCCCGCCACAGGTGCCCGCGCGCGCCCGGGCGGGACTGGCATCTCCGTTGCGTCTCCCGCCGCCCTGTCACAGTCGCGGACCCCAATCATCTGAAGCGAGATACCTTGACTTGGATCAGGAAGAACATCGCGGTTCCCCATCCCTGCTGCGCAGTCGCGCATGGGCATGCTTGACGCGCGTGGACCTTGTCATGGAGCTGTGGCACTACACGCAGATACGATTGTTTTTGTGTTTAATGACCTCAACCCTCAAGCATCGCAACCAGCTCTTATCACGCGCCTTAAAAACGAGGACCATGAACGGATTCCATGTTCACGAATTGCCCACTCCGCTGTGCTTGGCTTCCATTACTGATGCTGGACACGCTTCGGCGCATTCCGGATATCCTTTCGGAAATAAGATTGCGCAGTTCCTGGGTAACCCAAGAGGAACTACGACACACATGAATGGTGGCAACGGGCATCAGCAAGAGATGTTGCTGGGCATGGACATACTCTGCATTCCATCGCTAGAAAAGCAGCACGCGTCAGTCACAGCGCCTGTCACGCCGAAACGGATGCATGTGTTGGTAAACTTCAAGTGGCACAACTCAGATCTTCACGGATAGCGGAAAGCTGTAGGCAAGTGATCATTGGCAGCCTGGCCACGCCAAGACAATTGGACATTGGAAATAATGGCATGCTTGTGATACCTCGTGACGGGATTACTGGCTGCATTAATTCGTTCGGAACTCATCGCTAAAGGACGAGGTTTGACGATGGACAGAACCCAAGGCATCTCAATCATGCCCTTGCGAAAAGACCGCCTGTTTCGACGCATCACGCACGTGCCAACGGCAAGTGCTTCCGGATGGTATGACAAATTGGTGAATGTCCGTAACGATTTGAAATGTGCGCGACTGGAAACGGAAACGGATATTTCAAGGCAGTAAATGCACCCGTGCGAAGAACTACTGTGATCAAGCCAGGGTATATATGTAACCATATATGCGATAAGGAACTATGTGCAACCAGAAAGACCAGTGGTATGATGACAACGGGTCTGGAAATGAATACGATACAAACACGACCTACCACTACCACGGGTAGGAAACCCACAAACCCATCATGAACGACAGCGAATATTCCACAACACCCTGGGCGAGAACACCTCCGTCGAAAACTACGTCTTCTGCAACGAACTCCTCGGCTGAGGCCGGGACCGCTCCACGCTCCTTACCTCTCTCGTTCTAAGAAGTCAAGAGGACGATTTGCACGGGCAAAACTGCGTACTCTAAGTTGGTGTTTCAGGCGATTGAGGAAATATGTTGATCTTTCGCCCTGGGCTCAAGGCTGGGAGGGAGGGAGAGGGTAACGGAGGAAGGGGGGAGAGAGGGAGGAGCGTGGCAGGAAGGCGGACAAGGAGGGTCGTGGAGCTTGGTGGGGAGGCGAGGGGGGACAAAAAGGGCGGGAACAGAAAAGGAGACGAGGAGAAAGAGAAACAGATGAGCAGAAAGAGATAGAGAGAGAGAGAAAGAGAAATACAACAAAAACATAAACAGAGAGAGAGAGAGAGAAAGCGTGAGAACCGACAGAATGAGAATGAGAGAGAGAGATCAACAGCACAGAACAATTATTATTATTATTATGATTATTATTATTATTCGTATCATTATTATCATTATTATTATGAATACTCATACTAATATATATATATATATATATATATATATATATATATATATATACCCCTTGTGGGTCTCTAGGCGTGTGAGATAGTTCCCCCCCCATAATCCCCCCCAGGGACCCCAAACCGGAGATTCGACCCCCCCCCCCGGGCCGAATACGAGCGCATCACGGTGCTGTTTTAAGCCCACAAGGGCCTCAAGACGGGCCCAGAAGGCTCCAAGAGGCCTCCAAGACGGCCCACGAGGGCCCCGAGACGCCAAACGAGCACTCCAAGACGCCCAAGATGGCCCCAAGACGAACCAAGAGGCCTCCAAGACGGCCCAAGAGGTCCCCACGAGGCCCCAAGAGGCCTCCAAGATGCGTCCCAAGAGGGTCCCTAGACGCATACATTGGCCCACTCCCTCCGTACAACGTATAATTTTCACAAATTCGCTTTCTGGGCTTTCCGACGCTCCAAGACGGCCCAAGAGGCCCCGAAGACCGCCCCAAGACGGCCCAAGAAACCCCCAAGAGGGCACCAAGATAGCCCAAGAGGGCCCCAAGACGGCCTAACAAGCGTCCAAGACGGCCCAACAGGGCCCCGAAAACGGCCCCAAGAGCGCTCCAGGACCGCTCCAAGTGGCCTCCAAGAGAGTTCAACATGGTCCCAGACGGTCCAAGAGCGATCAAAAACACCGAAGATGGCCTCCTGACGGCCCAAGATGCCCCCAAGAGGCCCCAAGAGGCATCCAAGATGCGTCCCAAGAGGGCCTCTAGACGCAAAAATTAGCCCGCTCCCTTCGTAAAGCGTGCGTTTTTTTTTTCACAAATTCGCCTTTTGGGCTTTCCGACGCGGCCCCCAAGACCGCCCCAAGACGGCCCAAGAAGCCTCCAAGAGGGCCCGAAGACAGCCCAAGAAGGCGCTACGACGGCTCAAGAGGCGTCGAAAACGGCCCAAGAGAGCCCCGAAGGCGGCCCCAGAGCGCTCCAGGAGCGCTCCAAGTGGCTTCCAAGAGAGCTCAACATGGTCCCGCACTGCCCAAAAGCGATCGAAGACACCCGAAATGGCCTCCAGATGGCCCAACACGCCCCCGAGAGGCCCCCAAGATGCGTCCCAAGAGGGTCCCTGGACGCAGAAATTTGCTCATTCCCTTTTGTAAAACGTACAACGTTCATAAATTCGCCTTCTGGGCTTTCCGAAGCTCCAAGACGGCCCAGGAGGCCCCGAAAACCGCCCCAAGACGGCCCAAGAGGCCCCCAAGACGGCCCCGCGACGGTCCAAGATGGCCCCAAGACGGCCCAAGAGGTCCCCAAAACGGCCCAAGAAGGCTCCAAGACGGCACCAAGAGGGGCCCAAGAGGGCAACCAACAATTCAAAAATCTAGCCTTCCGCCCCCACGAGCCCCAGGGGGCCCCAAGAGTGCCCCAAGAGGCCGCCAAAGGCCCTCAAGAAACCGCCAAGACGCCCCAAGGAGCCCACAAGAGGCCCCCGGAGGCCCCCAAAAGACCCCCAGACGCTTCCGTATTGCGAGCCGTCACGCCAACTGCAATGCACTCCGCGCGTACAACCTTACTCTTCCTCGCGACGTGCTCACTATCTTGCTCGGCGCTAATGTGCTGCTGCCGCGCGAACTGTTTCGTGCGCGCTGTGAACGTCAACAGCCTCTTCACCCGTTTCGATTCATCTGCCACATATTTCGCTGTGATGCTTCGCTGATCGCGGCTTCCACACACTACTCTTGCTCCTTTCGTCTTCCAGTGGTCCTCCACTTGGTTGCGGGTCGAAAGGCCGACCTCCCAGAAGGACACCCCGCACCCAGGTGCACAGCACGCAAAGCGCTCGCAAAACACGCCCCAGACCACCGGCATCACGCAAACATTTGGACCCCCTACGTATCTGCCACCACCCGCGCGCGACACCGCACCCTCACACAAAACGCCGCTGGCCAGAAACTCCTGGCCTCGCAACACTCACAGAAGGGGTCGGCGGATGTGGCGCAAGCCTGTGGAATATATATATATATATATATATATATATATATATATGTATATATACACATATATATAAGAGAGAGAGAGAGAGAGAGAGAGAGAGAGAAAGAAAGAAAAAAAGAGAAAGAGAGAGAGAGAGAGAGAAAGAGAGAGAGATGTTTCGGTAGGCCGCGGGCACGCACTGCGCAAGCGAACGCCAGGCAGATGACCATCGCGGACGCCTCCGCTATGTGCATCGCGAGCTTCCTGTCGTCTGCGACGAAGAACTTGCGGATGCACGCGTGGCGCGGCGGAGGCCTCGCGGAGGGCCGTAAGCTCGGCCGCAGATCCCCGAAGACCCCCTGGCGACTCCGAAACACCGCGACCCGATGCCTCTTCGCGCAGCTCCTCGGCGCCCGGAGGCCGCTTCTGGGTGCCCGGGGGCGCCAAACCACTACGGTTAGGTCGGGCATGTCCCCCGATAGGCGGATGTTCGAGGAAACATGCAAAACAATACAAACGAGATGCTCCCGAATGATAAAAAATCTAAGCATCGTCCCGCGACTATTTATTTACTACTTGGGAAGATTCCTCCTGTAGATGGATACGCCCGACTTAAGATTACGGGGGATCGGCAGGCGATCCCGGAGGAGGTCACAGCAGGCCAGTCCAGGATACGGCGGCTCGAGAAAACCAGGTCGTCGGAGGCCTGGGGACCCGTCGGCTACCCCCTCTGTGCTGTTCGCCGACTGGAGTAGTCTTAGGTCGGGTCTGTCCCCCTACAGGGGGATTTTGCATGAAAAATTAAAATAGTGAGAAAATACTCCAAAAAAAACATTGTCCCCGTACTATGTTTGTTTTACTATTTTTGAATATTCCTCCTGTAAAGGGACAGGTCCGATTCAATACTAAGTCGTCCCCCGGACCTCGAGCGTCGTGGCTTGCTCGTTGCGCGGTCCCCTGGGAGCTGACAACCTCGCCGGGGTCTGGCTTCTTGCGGGCCCGGGGCCCGAAACGGGCCCCCAGAGGCCGAGATCGAGGCGAAGGGTGGCGTCAGGAAGGAGGGGGGGTAGTGCATCATGGCCCGAGGCGCGTGCTCGGACGAGGGGGGGGGGGGGCCTGGGGCACGCTGAATTCGTGGGGCGTCGCGCCCCGTGCTCTACCTGCGTGGGCTTGTCAGGTCCGCGTCTTCTGCGGGGCCTCCAGGGGCCAGCAGAAGCATCCGCGGGGACTTTTGGGGACCTGCGGGGGCCTCCAGGAAGCTTCGGAGGCCCTGGGGCTGAATCTGGGCTGGAGCGAAAGCTGGAGCTGCACCTTGAATTCGAAATCTGGGGCTGAAGTTGGAGCTTGGGCAGGAGCTGGAACCGGACCTGGGGCTAAAGCTAAACCGCACTTGGAGCTGGACAGCGAGCTGGTGCTGGACCTGGAGCGAAGCGGGATCTGGGGCTGGACCTGAAGCTGGGGTTGGAGCTAGGGCTGGGACGGGAGTTGGAGCTGTCCTGGACCTGAAGCTGGAGCAGGGGCTGGAACGAATCTGGGGCTGGAGCTGGGGCGGGAACTGATGTGTGGCCAAGCTAAAAATGGAGCTCGAGCTGGAAATGAGGCTGGAGCTGAGCCTGAGCTGAAGGTGAAGCTGGTGCTCAGCAGCTGGAGCTGGGCTCGATGTGGGCTGGAGCTGGGCCTGGACCTGGCCTGGAACTGGGGCTGGGGTTGAAGCTGGGGCAGACGCTGGGGCTGGATCTGGGACTGAGGTTGGAGCTGGAACCAGGGATGAAGCTGGGAACCTGAGCGGAGGCTCGAGCTGGGGCTTGAGGTGGGGGTGGTTCCACGCTATGAGTGGAGCTGGGCTGTGATGAGGCTGGTCTAGAGCCGGAGCCAGAGCTGGGGCTGCAAATTGTGCTGTACATACAGACAAGGGAAAGGAAGGTCATGACATCTGGTAGATCTCATGGTCCCAGCCACGATGTCAACACACATGATCACGTGATCAACGTTATTTTCGATCACTGATGGCATTCGGGTTCATCACTCGGGCCTCCAACAGTATTTCTGGACGACCTGGGCAGTTGAAGGCACCCTGAGGCTGGAACACCGCCGAGTTGACGAAAGCGCCCGCAAACCTTGAAAGTCGAATGCCCACATCTTCCCCCCCCGCTCTTGGATGCCCCGCGAACAACGGCGGTCTGGGAGAATGAATGACCAGCTGGGCTCACGCGCGGAAGGCGACCCGTCGGTCGAGACTCCGCCGCGAGCCACTCGGTGCCCAGCCGCTCTGCAGGAGGGCAAGGGGGGAGGGGGAGGAGGAAGAGGATGAGGAGGAGGAGGAAGAGGAGGAAAGGGAGGAGGAGGAAAAGGAGGAGGAGGATGAGGAGAAAGAGGATACGATACGATATGCACACCCTTAGCGCCATGTTGTCTGGTAGTCCAGTGAGTACTGTACTCACACAGTGTCAAAATCGCGCAGCAGTGGGCCCTGAACATTCAAGACTGACTGGAGGCATCGTGGCGCGGTGAACCTTCTCTTTGGAGTGAGTGCCGATGCCGAAGCTCTACGCACCAGGGCCGCAGACAAGGCCCCGCACGGGGCCGTCCTGGCCCCTGCAGCCACCGACGCATGAGGTAGCCACAGGGGGCTGTGGTGAATCGAGATTCAGGTCTGACCGCTTGCTTTCTTAGCAATGTCAAGAATGTTTCTACTGCTAGCGAAAACAGAAAACCTCTGAGACCCTGGGTAGATCCCCCGAGAGGCCAAGCATTCAGTTACTATCTGCTTTTCAGTGCGAGGGGGAGGAGGGGGGGGGCAGAGGACTCACAGGAGTGGGCGAGGGCACAGGCGCGGGCCTACTCGAACTCGAAGCTGAGCTGGCCCCCGTCGGTCTCGAGGGAGTCTCTCGCACAAAATCGCATATCGGGTATTTCCAAAATGATGTCCGAGCGGCCGTCAGGATCGCGAGAGTCAGTCGCCAAAATGCTCGACCATGCCGAGCTCGAACCAATCTCGGGTAGTTTGAGGGCCGCTCGTACTTGATTCACTTCAGTAAGGCCTCCAAGAAGGTCTGGATCTCCCGCTCCATGAATGATGCCGGGGCTCTGCCGTACTTGCGCGTCGTCTGTGGCACTTGAGAAAGGCAAGCCAGGAGAATACTGCGGAACTTCGCGCCCCTGGTGGCGAAGGTGATCCTGCGACGTTCTTTCTGGAAGACCTTGTCCTGACGGCAGAATAGAATTAGCTCGCACTTCTGCTCGACTGAGTACCCGTCGCACTCCTTCCATGCTGTCGCGAGGTCGGTGTGATTCTGGGCTCCGAGACTGTCGCCGTACGTCAGGAGTCCCTTGATGAGCCCGCCCATCGCGTATATGTGCGGAGGTCCGAGGGTGTGCTCTTTGCCCTTTGACTTGGTCTCGGCGGCGTAGGCCACGGTCTGTTCGCTCATCATCGTGATGAATGCGACCGTCATCGGGGCGATGAGAGTGTCGAAGATGACCCCTGACATGTCGCGGCACTGCTGGCTGAGCCTGAGGATCTGCTTCAGCATGAGCGCGAAGAGCTTCTTCTGCTTGTCGGGTATCTGCTCGGCGATCTGCTTGGACTCCTCTTTCGCGCCGCCCTCGACGCGGCCCTTCTTCCTCTCGTCGCGAAGGCCCTGGCCCCCGTCTCCGCCCGAGCCCGCCGCTGATCCAGTCAGTGCCGCCAGAACGCCAGGCATGGTAAAAAAGTGTCGGAAGGGGTCTAGGTAGATGCTCGTCTTGCAGGTGGCGAAAGTAATCGATGCTCGATGGAAATACTACGGAACTCGGGCATAGAGGACGGGTCCATTCGTCTTTCTGCTCGGGTTCCCAAGACATGTGAGCTCTTCCCATTAGACATCGGCCATGCCCATAAGAATGTTTCAGATGTTTGCGAGCACTGTGTACATCTCTGAATATACTCATACAATTTGGGCACTGATTCGTAATAACGCCACTATGAAGTATATATTTCATCTTATGTCCATTCGTTTGGTGTCCCATGGGAGCCCTGTAGGTGTCGAACTGGAGGCCACATGGGTTTCCCTCGGGGTCCGTGATCATGCATGTGTATACGTGTTCGCTTTTGGCTTCGGGGTTATGTACTTCGGGGAATAGAGTACACCATTTGTCGTAATCCGTGAACGCTGCTGCTCTCAAGATCGAGGGGTCGATATTCAGAAACTCCTGGAAAGAGTCAGAGTTGGGTTCGAATAGGGCCTTCCACGAAGGCCCAGCCGCCTCCCAAGCCTCGAAGAAACTCTCGGTCCCACTGATCCCCTCGTAAAGGTACAGGCTGCGATGGAACTCTTTTGCCCAGGGATTCGCGTCGATGCTGAGCTGTCCGTCTGGCAACAGCGTCGGTCTCTCCTTCTGTAAATGACCGAAGATCGCCGCAATCGTTTGGCTGTGGGCGTGACGGCGGGCGAGCATGCCTTGAAGCCACCGAATCCTGCGCACCGCCAGTTCCCCCCGAGCAGGGAGGATGCGAAATCTGTAGAGCACCTCTGAATTCCGAAGTGTGCGAACGCGTGGCCCATCGTAGGAAGTGGCAGCACCCCGCAATAGAACTCTGAGGTATCTTACAGTACAGGAGTCTATATTCTGATACTGACAAATGCTTCAAGACCCGTGATGCCACTTTCCACGACTTTGCCAAGAAAGAGCTCGCGCTTAAGTCGACGCAACCCACGCTCGTGCCAACGTAGACCTATGACAGACCAGCCCGCGTGCATAGAGCGGATTCTGCACTGTACCTCTGGAGCATTAGAGCCATTCATATGATGTCGAGCTCCCAGATGCCTAGCGTGACTGCGCACAGTGCCACAGGACCCAGGGCGAATCTCCTGAAGGCGACGGTTTTCCCTTGTGGATCCCAGGCAGGGTATGCTGTCTTTCTTTTGCAGATTCTGCTGGAAACGCCATTTTTCCAGGACCTGGTTCATCTTCGAGTCGCCTTCTCGGATTGCCTCTAAAGCCCCAGACGCCGAGAGATCTTCTAGAATGCGTCCCCGAAATAAATCATCTGCAAAACCTACCATTGAACAGTCTAAAGCCGAGTTGCCAAAAACTCCTGAAAGATATATGGGGTCCCGTCGAGCTCGAGGATTTCGTCGTAGCACTGGTCGAAGACGCCGACGAATTGTCGAGGTGCCTCACATGACCCTTGGAGCCTCCCATTCTTACTGAGAAATGCTTCGGGCTTGTTATCTACTTCAATTAAAACCACACTGTTGATCAGGCGCTGCTTCGCGAAGTCCTGTAGATCCTCGCGCACCATTACCTCGGAGGTATGGGTTAAAAGATCCTCA